GAACAAGTTTCTACTATTATCTTATATCTTTTCATTATATCCCTCATTTTGTAATGAATTTCATCTCTATTTCATTTTTTTTTCTATTTCATGGTGTAATGTTAAGTTAAGTGTTTATGGTTGGGATTTATGATTTAACTTGACCTAATTTTCATTAATATCAATATAATTGCTATTCAATGCTAAAATTGCCATTGTTATTGTGCATTTTTTTATTGTGTTTACATTTCCATCATGTATTTGGCCAATAGATGATTGGATTAGGTGGTTTGGCAATTATCGGGAGACTGTTGTGCTTTCAAGACCAAAATAATTAATGTCCTATGTTGTTTTAGGAGATAAAGATATACTGCTAACCTTGGGTGACCCATTAAGTTACGTTCAATACAATTAAATGCGAATGGTTGTGTTTTTGTCAACATAAAGATATAGTAGATAAAACTAATTACCTAGTATTATTTTCGATTGAGAGAGATAATTAGTTAAAACTGGAAAATTAGGTCTAACATTGTAACTAGGTGATTGATATTTCTGGTTTATTGAGATATTAATGAAACGACAGTTAAGCGATATCATAAATTCCAACTTATTTAAAATCTAAAATCTTATCATTTTCACAATTGATAGTCTAATTAAAGTCTAAAATTATTTTTCTTTCATTTCTAACTTCAAAAATTTTGTTGTGTGATCTTTATTGTTAATTTGAATAAACTATCATGTAATTGGAAGAAATATTCTTCGAGGGATCGACTAGGACTCAACATCCACTTTACTACTTGAACGCACCGTACACTTGCGACATATAATTTTAGCGAACAAGTTTTTGGCTCCATTGTCAAGGAGTAGTTTAATCCAATTGCTAATTTAGTTGTTATTCATGCGCATATAGTTCTATTATGAAGTTGACTTCTTAATTTTTGTTTTCCTAGGTCTTCGATAGTGTTTGCATCGATCGCGAAATATCGATCATTTTCGAATTTGATCTGAAAATCGAAGAGACTTTTTTACGAAGGTTAAGAGAATAGCAAGAAG